TTAACAACAGTAGCAAGAGAGTTCGTAAAATGGGGCAAAAATCAAAGGCAGCCTTGATACACAACAAAAGAAAAATCCTCATTGAATCTGCAACATAGTTGTGTCTAAATCGATTTAAATAAGAAAACCTCTTTGTGACAACAATAAGCCGTTTCCCATTGTTTTCCATTAAGGCCCCCCCGAAACAAATATCAGGGGACGCACTGGCTCAGTGGCTAAGACGCTGAGTTTGTTGATCAGAAGTCGGCGGTTTGAATCCCTAGCGCCGCGTAACGGAGGGAGCTCCCGTGACTTGTCTCAGCTTCTGCCAACCGAGCAGTTCAAAAGCACGTAAAAAATGCAAGTAGAAAAATAGGAACCACCTTTGGTGGGAAGGGAACAGCGTTTCGTGCGCCTTCGGCGTTGAATCATACCGGCCATATGATCACGGAGACGTCTTCGGACAGCACTGGCTCTTTGGCTTTGAAACGGAGATGAGCAGCGCCCCCTAGAGTCGGGAATCACTAGGACCTATGTGCAAAGGGAATCTTCTCCTTTACTTTAAACAAACATCCTTGCTTTTATTCCTACTGGATTTGACATTAATGTTTTGGCTTTTCAAGTTTGGTGCCTGGAGAAGATTGACGTGGGAAGCCGAGAAGGATTTGGAGGGCTGGGAGCACAGACCCTGCTCTCCATCCCTGGCTGAGTCCCATGGAGGGGTCTGGGCTGCTATGACATTTCCCCTCCCTGGCCGCTAAGCGGAACCTGCGTCCATTTTTCTCCTTCTTCACTGCTGACCCTTGCTTTTGCAAGCTTTGTTGAACTCGCATACGGTAGAATATTATCATTTTATAGCCACAATTATGAGCAATTTGATAGGAAATGATAGCTAAATTATGCCGGGTTCTCTGCAGTTGTTTTAATCTAGCGTTTTAAAGACATAAAAGGGGAGGAAGAAAAATGCATCTCTTTTCTTTAGTGGGGGGTGGGCTGCCCCATCGTCCCTCGCAGGCTGAATTTGGAGGCAAACCCCTATTCGGTTGCCAGGGGAGCCTCCGTTCTCCCCCAGATGTCTCACCTCCAAAGAGAATTTGGCCCCGTTGGATCCTGCCTTCTCCGTGTTCGGTGCTGAGGTTGCTAACTACCATCGTGGGCCAGAAGTGCTTTTTCAAAAAGGCAAATGGGTTTTATTTTTTCCTTGAAGATGTTCAGAACGTCCTCTATATAGAATAACAGAGTTGGAAGGGACCTTGGAGGTCTTCTAGTCCAACCCCCTGCCTAGACAGGAAACCCTATATCATTTCAGATAAATGGTTATCCAATCTCTTCTTAGAAACTTCCAGTGTTGGAGCATTCACAACTTCTCGGAGACAAGTTTGTTCCACTGGTTAATTGTTCTCACTGTCAGAAATTCCTCCTCAGTTCTAAGTTGCTTCTCTCCCTGATTAGTTTAGCGCATCTGCTTGCCAGAAACTGGCAGCTCAGCTTCCTGTTGCGTGCATGCGCACCAGGGAACTGCTCTTATGGTTTCGAGTGCCCCCGCGTGCGAAGACCAGCTAGCCAGTGTGCAAGTGCGTACCGGAACCCAGATGAGCTATGGGTGATGGCTGGCATGCCCAGAGAGATGGCTCTGTGTGCCACTTCTGGCACATAAGTTTGTCATCACTGCCCTATAATATCCCAGACAAATGGCTGTCCAGCCTCTTCTTGAAAGAGGGATGGACCACCCACAACATCTGGAGGCAAACGGTTCCACTGGTTAATTAACAGAATAACAGAATTGGAAGGGACTTTTGAGGTCTTCTAGTCCAACCCACTGCTCAAGACCCTATTCCATGGACAACAAATGGCTGTCCAGTTTATTTTTGAAACCCCCAGTGTTGGAGCACCCACAACTTCTGGAGGCAAACTGTTCCACGGGTTAATTGTTCTCATTGTTAGGAAATTTCTCCTTAGTTCTAGGTTGCTCCTCTCCTTGATTAGTTTCCACCCATTGCTTCTTGTTCTACCCTCAGGTGCCTTGGAGAATAGTTTGACTCCCTCTTCTTTGTGGCAACCTCTGAGATATTGGAAGACTGCTATCATGTCTCCCCTGGTCCTTCTTTTCATTAAACTAGACATACCCAGTTCCTACAACCGTTCTTCATATGTTTTAGTCCCCTAATCCTCTTTGTTGCTCTTCTCTGCACTCTTTCTAGAGTCTCCACATCCAAGAATGTGTGTGTTTGTGGGGGGGGGTGCGTGTCCATGTGCGGGGGTCGCAGTCAGTGTGTATTCAAGAATGGCTTGCCAGCTTTAAATCTGTCCTTTAAAAAAGAAAATTGGGGAGGGAGCAGCCTTTAATTCAAAGAGGCAAAGCAGGAAAGGCCCATAAATCTCCTTTTAAAAGAAATCCCTTTGGCTGTTTGGATCAACCTAAGAAGCTTAAAGGTTGATCCAACCTGTGTTTGTGTGTGTGTGGGTGGGTGGTGGTGGTGCTTATTATTGAAGGTGGAGAGGAAGGAAGGAAAGAAAGGATGAGGGGAAGGAAGGAATGGGACAGGACGGGAAAGGAATGGAAAAGAAAGGAAGATATAAGCAAAAAAGGAAGGGAAGGGAAAGGAAGGAGAGGATGAGGAAAAGGAAAGGAAGGGAAGGAAGGGAAGGGAAAGGGGAAAGAAAGGAAAGGAAGGGAAAGAAAAGGGGAAAGAAAGGAAAGAAAGGGAAAGGAAGGGAAACGAAAGGGGAAAGGAAGGAAAGAACGGGAAAGGAAGGGAAAGTAGGGGAAAGAAAAGGAAGGAAAAGGAAGGGGAAAGAAAGGAAAGAAAAGAAAGGAAGGGAAACAAAAGGGGAAAGAAAAGAAAGGAAGGGAAACAAAGGGGGAAAGAAAGGGAGGGAAAGGAAAGGGAAAGGAAAAGAAAAGGGGAAAGGAAGGAAGGAAAGGAAGGGAAACAAAAGGGGAAAGAAAAGAAAGGAAGGGAAACAAAAGGGGAAAGAAAGGAAGGGAAAGGAAGGAAAGGAAAAGAAAGGAAAAGGGGAAAGAAAGGAAGGAAAGGAAAGAAAGGAAGGGAAGGGAAATGGAAGGGAAAGGAAAGGGGAAAGAAAAGAAAGGAAGGGAAGGGACAGGATGGGACAAGATGGGAAGGAAAGAAAGGAAGGGAAGGGAAAGGGAAAACTGCTCTCCTGCGCAGGTGGCCGAGAAGGAGCTCCAAGCGTTATTTGCCCAAACAGCTCCTTCCTTTGATTAGAGAGGGCACCTCTTAAGTGATGCCAGTTGGTCTTTGTGCCAGATGGGAGCAGAAAAGATTGGTGTTTGATCTCTCCAGCTGGAGAGATCCTTCCTTTTCCCTTTGTTTCCCTGAGCCCAGCCCCTTCCTCTCGCAACCCAGCCACCCACCCACCCAAACACATCCAGAAACCCGAGCAGGTGACTCCCACCGACTTCATTGGTATGCGCCCTGGCCCCTTCCCTCTCACTTCAAAGGATAATCAAGTCCTGAACTAATTATGATACCACCACCGTGAGTTCTTCCAGGAATGTAAATTTAATTTCCTTTTCAAGGCGGTGGCAAGGAAGGAGCTGCGCCTCCTCACTGCTGACGTTCGGCGGTTTAAGGGGAAGAGGCTCGGATCTTACACACACACCCCAACCCATCTTCCTCTCCTCATTTTTCTGCTGAAGGTCTATTCCAGGGGTCCCCAACCTGAAGTCCTCCAGGCTACAAGTTCTGGGAGTTGAAGTCCTCCAGGCTACAAGTTCTGGGAGTTGAAGTCCTCTTGCTTTGCTGGCTGGGGAAATCTGGGAGTTGAAGTCCTCCAGGCTACAGGTTCTGGGAGTTGAAGTCCTCCTGCTTTGCTGGCTGGGGAATTCTGGGAGTTGAGGTCCTCCAGGCTACAGGTTCTGGGAGTTGAAGTCCTCCAGCTTTGCTGGCTGGGGAATTCTAGGAGTTGAAGTCCTCCAGGCTACAGGTTCTGGGAGTTGAAGTCCTCCAGCTTTGCTGGCTGGGGAATTCTGGGAGTTGAGGTCCTCCAGGCTACAAGTTCTGGGAGTAGAAGTCCTCCAGCTTTGCTGGCTGGGGAATTCTGGGAGTTGAAGTCCTCCAGGCTACAAGTTCTGGGAGTAGAAGTCCTCCAGCTTTGCTGGCTGGGGAATTCTGGGAGTTGACGTCCTCCAGGCTATAGGTTCTGGGAGTCGAAGTCCTCCAGCTTTGCTGGTTGGGGAATTCTGGGAGTTGAGGTCCCCCAGGCTACAAGTTCTGGGAGTCGAAGTCCTCCTGCTTTGCTGGCTGGCGAATTCTGGGAGTTGAGGTCCCCCAGGCTACAGGTTCTGGGAGTTGAAGTCCTCCAGCTTTGCTGGCTGGGGAATTCTGGGAGTTGAGGTCCCCCAGGCTACAAGTTCTGGGAGTCGAAGTCCTCCAGCT